CTTTATGGCTTTTTTCCTTTTATATTACCAAACGAAGACAGTATACAGTACCAGTGACAAATAGTGCAATAACACCAGAATCAATATAACTGCTACATTCATTGGCTGATATCTAATTTTCAATTAAGAGATCGATATTGCCTCCACACACCAGTAATCGCAGATATCTCTGTGAACCTTTTTTTGCCCTGTGTTTCAGCGCTTTCTCTCATTTAAGCTGGAGCACATAGCCACTGGTCTCCTAGGCAACAAGCCAGGTTTCCCGCGGTAACAGATCGCTGAAGCCCATTGGTGGGAGGATGAGGAGCTCCCTGCAGCATCCCCATGGCAACCAGCTCTGTGGTTTCTGAGAAATGATGACATGTTTTTTTTATAACTCTGTAATACCAGGCTCACCCCCAAAGTGACTCTTCACACTGCACACACACACACACACACACACACACACACAAACACACACACACACACACACACACACACACACACACACACACACACACACACTTTTCTCAGCTGGCAAAAGCAATAAACCTGCTCTCTTTTCATTCTTCTTTGTTAGACTGGCTCGATTAATTCACATGAGCAGATATTGTGGTTTCAGTTACACATTACTGACTCTATGCTGTTCACCTGACAGACAAAATAAACAAGCGTTATCTGTCTTTTTGGTGTTAGTTTAGACACACCACAGAGAATAAAATGCAACAAAGGCCATTAGCTCTGTTGAAACATTGTGTGTTATTAATTGTAATGTATCAACAAAATCGAGCCAGAATATATTACCGTATGGTGTGACTACAGACTGTGTATCAACGATGAGCCAAGCCAAAATGCATCGCGTCCGTGTTCACTGCCTTTACCACTACTGAAGAGAAAAGAGCTGCAAATTCATCTAGCCAACACTTGTGAGACAGTCCTTGATTAACAAGATGCGAGACAAAAAAAAGCCATGAATTTATTTTTGTTTTTGCAAAGATATAGCATTGATTATATGTCATAACTTACATGGCATTTCACTTTCTTTCCACAAAACCAATTTTGCCCTTAAAACCTGAACATTATGGATTTACAGGAACCTTCCCTTGATGGTTCCTGTTTACAAACGCTGACTAAAATAGATAAAAAGAGCAAAATAAAATCAAAACAGGAACGTAAACATGTTCTCACAAGCAGCTGCTTGAGGCACAAAAACGTATTCATGGTACAATAACATCAAAATGTATTTTACTAATTCAAATCCTGTTTAAAAACATGTTATTATTGTGACTTAATGAAAATTAACATTATATTTTGGACAAAGCCTCATAGGGCATATTCATCTTGCGAGCTGTGCCATCAAACTGGACGTTTAGTGGGAGTGAAGGTTGTGGGTTCTTTCTTTTAGTCAGCCCCTCCCCAATAATCCAATTGCATAATGTAAAACAGTGAGAAAATGAAGCTACTGCTACACTGATTTACTATCCCAGTTAACTTTCTCCTGATGTTTGTTTAAATCAGGGTGTGGCTTAACACGGGGCCACTTTGTGACTGATAATCCACTATATTACAAGTGTGCTTCAAAACGGCACAAGCCTATGTCATGGTGATGTCATGGGGGCAAAGAAGCGAGTCTCTCCCTACACCCTACCATTCTACAGCCTGCTCATGTTGTGTGTTTTTTACTTTTAGTCAGATGTGAGTGGTTATAGCTCTTTAATTTGAAGCCGGAAACGTATTTCTTCATCTGTGGGAATGGTGTGCAGATGCGCATAATCTCAGCCAACGTATTTTATCTGTGATGTAAGGGACTGTCTCCCATTGCCAGAAACACATGCAGGGAGCAAATGACAAGAGAAGCTCGTGATCGCCTGATTATTTTTTAAAATGCATATCAAGGGGAGCTCCTTTAAACCTTTGTATTGACTGGGTCTCTTCTGCAATGTGCTCATCAAACTGCTGGATCCTGCAGGGGTTGCTTCTTGACACAATAACATTGCCATTCTCTACCGACTAAACCACCCACAGGGAAACAGAGGGAAAAAATCCAATCTCTTTTAACCCTTCTTGTGAATGTAAACAGTAAGAAAACACTTTTAATCAGCTGTGTTTTCATTTTAAAATGACCATCTGTAGGACTTAAGGCATCTATCTACATGTTCAGTATAAAACAGAAATAAACGTTCATCCTCATCTCCATCTGACTTTAATTCACCCTCAACTGTATTTCAAGCATCCACACAGGTATTGGGAATGTCAGCTGTCGTCACTAGGTTCAATTCAGTCCCCCCCCCCCCCAAAAAGAATTATGTGTTTTTTATTACAGCTTAAAAATCCCAGTGTAGACACCATCTTTAATGTCCAGTCTGCTTTTTTTGTTATAAATACTACCGGTAAGCTAGTTTTCTAAGCTAGAGTTCCTCAAATGGACACCTGGCAAAAAAGTGAGTTATTCCTCACAGCCTCATGTTTGTTTATTACAGGTCATCTTTATTTCTGTGTGTCTGGTCACTGAGCCTCACAACACTGGTGGTGGTGGTTCTTGGTGGAGCGTTTTTTAATGGAATTTATGGAATGTTATAATCAGCAGGTCTGTGTCTGTTCACTATAGTCTGCAGATGAAGCTTTCTAGGTAGGCTTTATCAAGTGAACGTTTTAATTTTTACTCTATTTTTAATGACATTTAATGCATATGTTGTTTGCACAGATTGAAAATGCATAATATTAATATTATATTAATATTAATATAACAACATTCACACTTTCTGACATATTTACTTTTTTATTATAGCCTGTCTGCAGTCTGCACCAAAAGGAAAAATAATCAAGTTATTACAAACCTACGTTCATCCTGGTTCTTCAGGGCTAAAATACCAAACTGTGTTTCTTTTGATACCTGATCTCACTGAGATGATAGCTTCATTAAACTGTGGAACTGATGTACCGCTGGCACCACTGGTTCTTATCAAACTCGAGCAATTTTGCACCACTGATGCATTATATATTACTCTGTATATCCAACAGTGTATGAAGCCCCCAAAAGCGCAGAAACACACACACACACACACACACACACACACACACACACACACACACACACACACACAC